TCCCAGTAAGCAATGAGCGGTTTATAATGGAGGTTAAAATTGATACAATATGTTATGAAACATACGATATCATAATTCTTCTTATGTTGTCATGACCTCATGACGCCTACACCTTAATAAGTTTACGTAATACTTTTAAAACATCCTTCTCAGTGACAGTAGAAAAAAATGAAAGAATCAGTATTCGGGGATGACATGAAAGTAATATCCGAAATAGTTTTTTTCATTCTTATGTGAGATGGGCGACAAACTGATGAAGAAAAGTGTACATTGAGATCATTTAATGGGTAAATATCTGAGATTACTTGTCTTTTAGTTTTACTGAGACCAAGAGAGTGAATAAAGTTCCATGTCTCTGATTGCGATGAATTATTTAGGAAATTATGAAAATATCGGCGTTTAGCGGACCTCACCACCTGATTGCAGCGATTCCTAGCCTTTTTGAAATCCTCCCAGTTCTGTACAGTACGGCAAGATTTATATAGAGTAGTTTAAAGGGGAAATGTGCGGTATTACCATGGCCGACCGAAAGCGAAACGAAGAGATTCGCAATATGACAGGTTTGAAAGATGACCTTATCACAAAAATTGATAAGGGCGTGCTTCGGTGGTTTGGGCACGTTGAGCGAATGAGTGAAGACCGAATGGTGAAGAAAATATATAGCGCGAAAGTTAATATTAAAAGGTGTCGAGGTAGACCGAGACTAACTTTCGAAGACCATGTGAGCAAATTGCTCGAAGAGGGTAGGGTCAAGAGTACTCGGATACCTAGACGGGCATGCATGAAGAAGATAATAAATCTGAAAGAAGCGAAAGAGGTTTGTAAGGATCGTGACACTTGGCGATCTGTTCTCTCTGGCTACCCTGTCAGGGATTGTGCGTGAAGATAAGTAAGTTAAAGGGGAAGAATGGAGAGGTTGACCGAATTTATGATGGATCGTAACTTTTGAGAATTAGAGGAGTGTTTTAAAAGGTCCGTGTTGAAATCACCCATAATGACTTAATGTGTGTACTCAGAGCAGATGTTATCTAGAATAGATTCTAAAGTGGAGAAATAATTAATAGTGGGAGGAAAGTAAACGACTCCAAGAACAGATTTAGCCCCCTTAAAATTAATTTCAAGAATCATTAGCCTGTTGATTAAAAGTGGATATTACTTTGAAGGTTATATCACTACGTAGATAGATAGCGACTCCACCTCTACGCCTTAAAATTCGGTCATGTCATACCAGCACCAGTATGGTAGACCATCATATGATGTAGAAAATAGGTTAGGTTTTAACTAGGTCTCGGACACTAGCATAGCATGGACGAAATCAGATGAGAAAGTAGCCAATAATTCAGTATAATGACATGGAATACTTTGCCCCTTGAATATGACATATATTAAGATTAGAGTAAACAAAGTTGATAAACACATCTGAAATTTGTTGCTTAAGGGTGACATGAAGGTTATAATCATTATCAATGGAGTGATCATCATCAGACATAGTAATTTAAAATAAATATCATATACCTAAGACAAATATATATAAAAATAACCTGATATATTATGCTAGAATATAGTTTGTATGTATAATATAAACACAAGATAAGTAGTGTATAAGAATAATTAAGAATATAAGAACAGGTATTATTTTATCACACCACCATTCCTCAAGTTGACTGATAGTTACAAAGCAGAAAAAACAAAAATAAATTGTACGCAAGTAAAAAATACGATCAGGGGCAAAAGATAACACTAGCTGGTACAGGTATTCAAATTAAAATTTAAGATTAAGCAACTAGTAACAACAACAATTAATGCAAATTTTCATTTAAGTATAAAACAATATATGTAATCTATCCCCACGTGCTTAAAAGTCTGCCCCCGCCTTTTATTTATAGTGACAGCAAACGATAACAAAACGAAAACTTTTACGGATAATTGTATTCTTTTAAAACTAAATGGTAAATTTGAATAAAAACCAAGGCAACTTTGAGGTTTCTATGTTACGTAGTGCAAATAATCATAAATGCGAAATGATATATATATATGAGCGTATATCTTTCAATATCGCTCTCTATTAAATTCAATGAACTAACCATAGACTTAGAATATATAGACCAGCATAGTGCGCAAGGGAGAAGAATATTCTTTATGGCAAAAAAGCAAGATAGAAAAAGATAGCAAATCTCATGACTCTGTGACCGATTTTGAATGACAGGTCGGCACAAGTCGGCACGCAAGAAATAAGCTACATTTTGTAATTCTTAAGAGTATCATCGTGGTTAATATTTCATATGATTGTTTTCCACAATGGGTATAATGTTCTGTGAGTGACTGTGGTGTGAATAATAGAAATAATTCTGATAAATGCACATTTTACAGGTAAATTCACAAAATGTCGTTACTGTTATGACACGTCTATTTTTGGTTAAAATTTTTGTTATATACGGTATATTCTAAGTCTATGGAACTAACACACACAGCGCAGATAATTTATATTTTTCGTTAAGTATCCGTAAGCACCGTAACTGCATAGTGATTCGCTTTAAATAAAGAGTAGGTAGTGTAGGTAGAGAACAGTGGAAATCGTGAAAATTAAGGATGTGCTTCTGAAAAAATATATTTCAATTTCAATGAGGCTGGTTTACAAATCAACAAAAAAAAGTTCCTGTCAAAGTCTAGTCAAAGTGAGGATCAGATAATTATTGCGCTACGCTGAATGTGTAGTGCGTTACGCTGTTACATTGCTGTAATCCCCTCGCCCTCCTTCAATTGCGTACTCAATTACCGACATCTATAACCCCAACACTACTACTCCTAACACTACACTTAGGAAAGACACACCACCATAATAAAATGACAAGTGTTTCGTTTCTAAACGAGAAAGCATCAAGATATATAGACTCTACGGTGGCTGGCTGCTTAGTAGGCGGGGTGCCAAAACGTTTAACCATTATAACTTGCAGACGTAACTGCTCCCCACTTAATATATTAGGTCCTTACATATGAAATTGGCGTTTTGTACGGGAGGAATATAAAGTCATTTTTTTTGTAAAATATATTTAATTAATCAAAGTATGCACTGTTGTCATCTATGCACTTTTGCCATTTCATAGGTAGTTAGTTCATTGATCCCTTTACTAAAAAAAACCATGGGGGCGCGAATCAACAAAGTCTTTGAAGGCGGTTTGGACTGCCGCATCGGAGTTGAATTTTTTTTCCTTGTAAGAAGTTGTCCGAATTCCAGAAAAAATGGTAATCTGTTGGAGCAAGGTCCGGGGAGTACGATGGATATCGCAGACATTCCAATTTTAGCTCATCTAACTTAGTGGTTGTTTGTTATGCAGTGTGTGGTCTTGCGTTGTCGTGAAGCAGCAGTGGCCTAGAGGGATTGACCAATCTCGATTGTTTAGCAGCTAGTTCTTCCTTCATGGTTTGCAGTTGCTGACAATAGATATCTACTGTAATCGTTTGGCCAGATTTTAGAAAGCTGTAGTGAACGACACTGGTGCTAGTCCACCAAACACTCACAAGTAACTTTTTCTGAGTCAATTTTCGTTTAGGGCAGGATTCGGCTGGGTCTCTAGGGTTCAGCCATTGCGACGAGCGCTTCCGATTATCGTTTAGTATCCACTTTTCATCACAAGTAATAATTCGATTTAAAATCCCTTCATTATTGTGTCGGTTGAGCAAAGTAACACAGCAGTCGACGCGTGTTTGCAAGTTCGATTCACTCAATTCATGAGGTACGCATCGTTCAAGTTTTTTTACTTTCCCGATTTGCTTCAAGTGGATTAATACAGTTTTATCACTTACCATGAAGCCTGCAGCTATCTCTGAAGTGCTTCGTGATGGATTCGCTTCCACAATAGCCTTTAATTCGTCATTTTCCACTTTGGTCTCCGGCCATTCATGGGGCTGGTTCTGAAGGTCGAAATTTTCAGAACGAAAACGTTGAAACCAAAAATGTACCGTGCTTTCTTTTGCGACACCAGCGTCGTACACATCATTAATCCTTTGAGCTGTTTCTGCAGCACTAGTGCCACGTTAGAACTCGTACTCGTAATTATACCGATATTTCATGTTTTCCATTGTGCGGTAATAAGCGACGCCAAAGAAAAAAGTAATGAGCAAAAAGCAAATAAATTACTGTTTTCAAAACTCAAATGTACCAGCTAAATGAATTTATAAATTTGAATTTGGAATTCTTAACCAAAGGTATTTCAGATCAAAGTGGTCAGTACGAGAAAACGTTAATTTCATATGAAAGGACCTAATATTAAAACATGCGACCTGATGTACGCAGACTATGTCGACTTGAGAAATAATTCATCATGTAGGTCATCGATCACTAATAAAAAACTACATACGACATAAATGTCCTTACCTAATGAGCTCCCACTCGAACATTTGGGCGCGCTTTTAATTTGTACGTAGCTTTGTGAATACAACTTTAGGAAACGTATTTAAGGTTGAATTTACATTAATGTATATTTGTTTCAACTAGTATTACGTCAAAATAATTGGCGACAGTTTTTAGAGAACTTTTGTATATGAGTGTGTATCTAGTTTTTTATTAGTGATAGATGATGTAGGTATATAATAAGTTTGAAGATTTTAATTTTGGAAATAATCAAAGTATGAGGAAATGAAAATATATTTATCCAAATACACTTAGAATGTCACATGGAAGTTTTCATGTGATTTTGAAGTAACTACGTCATGTCGTATAATGTATATGACACGTCAATGTCCTTCGATTATTATTGTTTTTTTTGGCCGCGGTCATCGTACATTAAATACAATAATATTTTCTATAATGTAGACCAGCCATTTAGATGCAATGAAGCCACCGCTACCTCACCCAAAGTTGTGCTAGTGTAGTGCTAGGATTATTGTATGCTAAGCATAGTTATTATTTCGTATCAAGTTCGTACCAACCATTTAAATATAGCAGAAGCCTGCTAAATTTAAATAGTTGTTAATATGATAGAAAAGACAAATTATTGTACCTTGAACAACAACAGTCTGAAGAAATATAACGGCAAGCGCTGCTAGCGTGGCCAGTCCAACATGCTGCCACACGAGATACGATACTACTGGTACCACGATCGGCATAACCCATAAATAGTGCAAAAATTGAGCTGCTACATCAAAGCGGTGAACGTCGTTTGACATTAAATTTATCACCTGTCCGGGCTCAGTTTTGCCCAGGCCCGAACAACTGAGTTTCAATATCTGCAATTTAAAAAATAGAAGTTGTTCCGTACTCAAAAATTAAATTTAAATTGTGTAAAATATTTTTTATGATCTCGCCTATAAACTAACCTTTCTATACAGTAAAGAGCAGCAAGCAATTCTTACTCTCATTCCAATACAATATTGAGTTAATTGTAGATGACTCAACATGATGGATGTTGAAATACTTAAGAAATTCATAAGAAAGTTATTAATATGAGCATTTCTGTAATTTTCTGGAGTCTTTTCATCGGAAAAATATCCAATAAATAATGCCAGCGTGTAAGGAATTAATGGCCTGAAACAAGAATGCAATATTTACTTTTATAAAATGTTAAGGCATTCATATAATGAAACCTACATTGAAACATTACCTTAGAATCAGTATTTTGTATTTCATGTAAATAATTCAAGATATTTAAAAAATATAAACGAGCATAATATCTAACGCCACGTCCAAACTACATCTATTATCAGTAACATAAAATGAAATAAGACTCACCATAAAATAATAAATAGTATGCCAATGAAAAACCCACATATCATGTATTCAAGCCAAAAGGACCTTATTATAGCTTTCGCAAGGGAAGGCTTTGAGTCTTTGTGACGAGCGTTATCAATTTCTTTTTGCCACGCTTCTTCCAAGCGATCGCCGAGTCGCCCTGAGCGATCGCTATCACGCGCTTGAAACAGATCTTCTATTGTTAGGCCTTGCTTATATCCTTTACGAAAGAGACCAAAACTCCACCTATAAAAATAGACAATTATTAATATAATTTACAAATTTTTATCGTAATTAAGTATTACACGTATGTATACAGTCTGTCCGGTCACGGACTAGAGATATCCTATGTTATATTACTGTATTATTGAACATTGGCTAAAAGATTATAATTTCATGTTTAATTTCAGACATCACCAGGTGGTCAGTTCCTTCAAGAGAGAAAAAAATTTACGCGGTGGCTCCTTAGTACTAGCAGATAAATCATTATTATATAAAGAACGTAAGGATATAGTGAGCCTCTCTGTTGAGCGAACTGTAGAAATGGCTTGTGTCGAGCTCCAGCACCTCATTGTTGTAAGTGCTTATAGACCCCCGTGTGCTACTTATGACTATTTTGAAAGGATTCTGGAAGAAGTTTTACTAAAACTTAGTAAACAGAACAAGTCTGTTGTAATATGTGGAGACTTTTACATTAATCTTCTCGAAACTTCTTCCATTAGTATTAAGTTTAGCTCATTGTTTAAATAGTATAATCTTGTTAATTTATTCTTAGAACCAACACGTATTGCTGGGTCTAGTGTGACCTGTATAGATAATATTTTTACAGATGTTAAGCCCTTGCATAAATCAATTATTCAAAATTTAAGTTCAGATCACTGTGGACAGTTGGTATCATTGCCTTACATACACAAGAAACAGAAAAATAAGAAAGTTGTATTTGTTCCAACAAATGAACATCGCTTGGAGAGGTTTAGAAGTAATATAATAAAAAGACTTCCATGACTTTCATTTAAAAAAAGTGCTAATTATTTGTATGGTACGTTATTTAAAATTATAACTTGGGAATTTAGTAGGATATTTACTTCTAAAACTTTATCTATAAACAGTCGCAAATCATTTAATGAATGGGCGGCAGTAGGAATTTATAAGAGTAGGCGAAAGTTATACGAGCTTTATAATGAAAGATCATGTAATAGTAGTGTTATATTTAGAGATTATGTAAAAACATATTCCAAAGTATTTAAAAAAAGTGTGCGCCACAGCTAAGGCTTTACATTTAAGTAACAAAATTAAAACTACATTTAACAAAATTAAAATGACCTGGAGAATAATAAATAGTGAAATGGGCAAGGTCAAACCACGCAACTCGGATTTTCAATTGAATATTAACAATAATTTAACTCGATCTGATCAAAAAGTTGCTATGGATTTTGAGAAACATTTTACTGATGTTCCTTTTTTGACAACTAAATCATTAAACTCTTCTCCTACTGTCGCCGAATTATTGCTCAAACAAAATGTAAAGGCTTGTTCAAATACTTTTAAATTCCATAGAGCACTGCCAAAAGATATCGTTAAGTATTTTAAAACTATTGATGTTGAGAAAACGGCAGATTTATGTGGGATTTCCGTTAAAGTTGTTTTATCTATAATAGATATAATAGCACCTTATCTAGCCACTATATTTAATACAAGCGTCGAATCTGGTGTGTTTCCTGATTTAATGAAACATAGTAAAGTCATACCTTTATTTAAATCTGGTAGTAAATTAGACGCCGCCAATTTTAGACCAATTTCTGCACTACCAACATTTAGTAAAATTTTTGAAAAAATAATTTTAGATCAGATGTTAAGTTTCTTTAATATTAATAAATTGCAACAACGAATGTGAAAAATCTGAGTATCAATGTGTTTTTAAATGGGGAAGAACTGAGCCCTGTTGAATCCACTGTTTTTCTTGGCATCACTCTTGACGCAAAGCTGTAAAAAAGATTAGAGGTCTCACTAGTGTCGAGACAGCTAGATTAGTTTATTTCAGTTATTTCCATAGCATAATGTCTTATGGGATTCTGCTATGGGGAAATGCGGCTGATTCAGAAACTATTTTCGTTTTACAGAAGAGGGCCATTAGAGTTATTTACAACCTAAAACCGAGAGAGTCTCTTAGAGATAAATTTAAAGAAATAAATATATTAACTTTGGCCTCTCAGTATATTGACAAAATTTAATGTATGTTCACAAAAACAAAGATAGTTTTAGTAAAAAAAGTGATGTACAATCTGTAAACACTAGGAACAAACACAAGCTAGTGATGCAAGTTTCTCGACTCCACAGAGTCAGTAATTCATTCTTGGGGCAATGTATTCGCTATTTCAACAAGGTCCCGGAAAGTGTACAGGCTCTCTCTATTATCAAGTTTAAATGTTTTGTTAAGTTGAAACTGTATAAAAAGGGTTATTATAGTATAAATTAATATATGGTTGATAATAACCCCTGGGAATGAGGTGATCTCGTCCAAGCTGTTTCTAAAATAAATTTTGTACTTATATAGTTTGTACAACCATTAATGTAAAATTTGCTTTAAAAAAAGTCCCGCTGGGTTTCTTGCTGGTTCTTCCCAGGACAGAGGTTTTTTCTCGAACAAGTGGTAAAGTAGAAAATGACTTTCAATAAGAATCACACATGTGATCTATATTGAATAAACAATATTCTATTCTATTCTATTCTATTCTATATTACAACTATTTTAATACACAAATATACTACACACTGAGATCTAATCTATCTAAGGGGAAGGGCCCTCTGGCAGCCATTTTTTTTTCTTGAGATATTCTCTACGTGTGTACAAAATAATGGAATAGAATAGAATGATTTTTTATTCAATATTGATTTATATACGACTATAATACTTATTGAAAGTCATTCTTTATTTACCACTGGTTCGGAAAATACCTCTGTCCTGGGAAGAATCAGCAAGAAACCCAGTGAGACTTATTTTAAACATATTTCACTTAACAATAATTTTGTTTATACGATTTTTAAATGAATTTTCATAGAATCAGCGTGGTGGCGATCACTTTATTTCCAGGGATTATTTTCATTCTTGTATTCTTTGATATTATAATAACCCTTTTTGTACAGTTTTGTTTTAATAAAACTTTTAAACTTGTTTATTGACAAACTTTGAACCACTTACCATCAAGTGGACTGTGTGTTCGTTTGTCACTCTTTTCATTTTTGACGGGTCCAAAACATTCTCGGAACAGATTTTGCTACAAGGTTTGTATTTTGTTCATGAGTCAATAAAAGTGTGAGACAGAACCGTCATTTTCTGCAAAAATAGCAAAATTCACAAGAGCTGGCGTAGTTTAGTAGTTTCACAAGTATAGAAGAAACTACGGAAGTCCAAAACGTCACAGATTTATTACCCCGTGAATATCCTGCGCGGGTAGAATTTTGTAGTAGCTTAGAAAATATACTGAGGATCTACAATTCTTAAAATTTCTATGTTATGATCCGTCGAAACAACGTGTAAAGAGATGGATATTTAAACCTTCACAATCTGCATAGTTGGGGGATCGAGAACCTGCACATAATGAGAGAAGACAAATCTCAGTACCAATATAAAGTGAAGTTATGGACAGGCATATTAAACGGCAAAGTTATCGGACCCTTTGAGTTGCCAGGAGACTTGAAAGGCGAAATTTACTTAAATTTTCTGGTTAATCATTTGCTAGATCTCCTAGAGGTTGTACCTTTAAACATATTAAGAAATATGTGGTACCAAAATGACGGTTGCCCTGCTCACTATGCCCGTCCAGTGAGAGACTATCTAGACCAAGAGTAAGCAGAACTGTGGATTGGGCGTCTTGGTCAATTTTATGGCCACCGCGTTCTTCAGATTAAAGCCCGTTGGATTTTTTTACTGGGGGAAAACAAGATATATATTTAAAACCAGTACAAACAATAGGCGAACTTTGACAAAGAATCTTGGAAGCTGCAAAACACATAAATACACGAGGATATCCAGGACTGATTATTTTTAGGCATTTTAGCGCATGTTATATACTGGTGGTAAATTTGAAACAATTTGAACATTTATTTCTCAAATTATAAACATTTCAATTTGATATTATTAGTTTCATTTGTTTAAATAAAACTATCTATCCCACTCTTGCTTACCAATGGTGTAACTACCTATTTCATTCGCACTTCGAAAATCTATTGACGAGTCTTGTTACAAACACAAAATAACGTTTTCAAGGATAATAATTTGTGTTAGGTTTTTTTTTTCAGAAACAAAATGAATATTTTTTGTTCTTAGTGTCACTAGAGTATTATACCATTTTAGAATCTTGATTAGTTGTGCTAACTTTTATAAAAACTTTCCATAGAGATGTTGATACATTTTTTATACCGTGAGGAGTGTATGTTGATTAAAAGTAAAAATTTTCTATAATTGTAAAAAAAATTAAAATTAATAACTTTTTTTCAGATATTTTAATTTTGTTTGGAATTGGGATGATCAGCTATGCTACTTAGGTAGCTAATACAAAAATATAATAGGGATATTTGCCTCACAACCTGAGTTTTATTTACCGTGTAAGTGCTAGGCTAAGACTGAATTGCCTGCACTAGCAATAACATAGTATTTCATACAAATAAAACATAACCTCAAAATCTCTATAACACCTGCTAATATCTATGTTTTGAGAAATGTCCGTCAGAAGTTATTGTTCTTACATACAATTATGTGTAATTTCGGACTTAAAAAAGTTTTTTATCACTGTTGGTTCTTAGGCGAACATTGTATGGACGCAGAACAATGTCCTTTGTAACCATAGTACATAATCGTGTAACTTAAAAAAGAGTCCGATTTGTTTTTATTTTCCCTGGGTAGTCATCAATTTGTCAATTCACCGGTGCCCGCTTAACTCAAGTTGATTCAAGAATGGTTTAGAATTTAGATTTACAATTGGATTCGATGTCAAAATCCAGAAATCACCCGTGCGAAGCCGGGGCGGTTCGCTAGTTTTACTATACTACTGTTCTGAGACTCAACAATAATATCTATATATACATATAATAAATTTGTAGAAAAGTCATGTCCGTAATTCTAATATTTTCTGAAAAAAACATAATTCCAGGGGACTAAATAAAGGCCACTGAAGCCAAATTAGTAGTTTTAAAATTTTTGTCTGTCTGTCTGTGTATTCCCAATTCATACAGAAACTACTGGACAG